AATATGGCGATGTTAAATAGTATTTTTGTAGTAGTGGTAGTGCTTCAGCTTGGTTTTCTAAATGTTTGATCAGTTTGAACTGCTTAGTGAATGTTGAACTGCTCAGTGAATGTTGAACTACATGTACAACGTTTTTCCTTAGTATGAAAGCTTGGTCCTTATATAGTAGCTTTAGAGAAGATGACCGTTACAACAACGTTGGATTGAAAGTTTAAATTTCTTTATAGGTTGTTTCGTCTGTCTTCCTTGCTAATCCTAGAGATTACCCTTGATGCATTAAATGCTTAGTGAAACGTGTATCTCTTATCTAATCTAGACAGCTACTTATCATTATTTCCTTCAATTTTGAGTGTAGTAGAGAAGTGTCAGTATAGAGTAGTTGGGGTTGGTGTAGAGCAATTAAGGCTGGTGCAGAGTTGTCCTTTTCAGTACCTTTTTTGTGATATCCGGGATCTTGCTTATTGCTTCTCACGGACATTTTGTCTTCTTCTTCTTTAATGCACTTTGACATTTTTGAAGTTCCTTTTTGTTCAATCTAATGAGGAATAATACATTAAATGAAGTTCATCATTAGTCTTATATAGTAGTGTTCATTTAATATCATCAAACAGACTGTATGCTTTGTTTGCTTTCTTTCATCCTACAGATGATATGTATTTTCTTCATAGGTTGTTTAATATGTTTTATCTTTAAAAAGTGCTAATTTTTGCTTAGAGAAAATCTTTTGTTTGTCATCATTAAAACTTAAAAGAATCGTCTATTGTCTTAAAACAAGAATTTGGATTTAACAATCTCTCCTCTTTTGATGGTAACAAACTTCCAAAAATATTTTCTTTGTTTTATTCTGGAAGCGATTTTCTTTTTCTTTCAAAAATTGAAATGAGTGTTCATATTGAAAAGAGTCTCTAAGAGAAGTTCAGTTAGAAATTATTATACTAATGTGAGTTATACATATCTAAGATGCGAGAAATCATGTGAGCAACTTTGATTGAGGTATGATGTTTTTCTTATGACATTTGGTTCATTATATTTTCTTACAGTCAGACGATATGATATTTGATAGACTAAGGTGTTAGAGCATATCAAAAACATGCATGGTTAAAAGAGCAAAAAAAATAGAAAACACAAAGATCATTCATAAGAAACATATATATATATATATATATATATATATATATATATATTAATTTTAACATGTCAATATATATAAAAAAAATATAGACAAAGAGGAAAACACAAAGAAAAACACAAAGGAAACCAAAGCAAATTGGAAGAAACTTGAACATCTTCTTCTCCTTTTTAGGTTGGTGGATGTCTTCTCCCCCTTTTGTCACCAACAAAGTCATGGGTTCCACTAGCATCAAAGTGGAAGAGAAGCAAAGACAGAGGAGGAAGAAGCGAATGGAAAACCCTAAGAGAATAAAGTGGAGTGGATAAAGTGGTGAAGGAATCTGGGAACGAGAGGATAAAGATGAAATGACTTGGCAAAATATTCATTTAACTAGGTTGCCCGAAGATGGAGGGTGTCATCAAAGAGAAGACAATGAAGGCTAGAGTGTCTGGTCAACTAGTTAATTGAAGTATTTGGAAAGACATGAGGAGAGTAAAAGACATGTTAGAGAATTTTGAAAAATGATTTTGATGAGATGAAAAGAGGAGATGAGTGAATTTTATAGGCACAAAAAGAACATCGAAATAAAAATAAACAAATAATAATAATAATAATAATAATAGATAAAGATTGATAAAATAATGAAAAATAAAGCAAATACAAAAGGACATAGGTAGTCGTGACGACATGGCAAGTGAGAAGATATGATGCTGAGTTAACAAGTCACTAAAGTTTCTAAGGGTTCCACGCATTATGCTTGCAAATATCAATATTTTTTACACACTTAAACAACACGTTAGTGCATACAGGCTATATAATGTTGTCACGTCATCTTGAATTAGATGATTTGTGATAGACGCAATAATAATCAGATGAAATAAAAACATAATCAAATGAAGCAAGACACATTTATTCTAAATGCAGATCTTAATCCTAGGTGTTTTCTAATGAACATAAATCGTTCAACTAAAGCCTTTGTAAAGATATCAACCCACTGATGATTGATGTAAATAAATTTTGTGTCAAAAATGCCTTTTTGAACATAATCATGAATGAAGTGATATCTTATCTCAATATGTTTAGCTTTGGAATGTTGAATAGGATTTTTGGACAAATTTATGGCACTAGTATTATCACAAAATACAGGGATATTAGTTTCAAGACTTGAGTAGCTGATAACTTTCAATTTAATCTATATTTTAGCCCTAGAAAGAAAGCATTTTCATGAATTTTAGTATTTAATTATTAGGATAGCTTGTTATTCTTCCTTTTCTACTTTGATGTGCTTTTGGTATGTTTTAATTGTTTCTAGAAGGTTTAGGCCTGGCAAGGGATTGTAAAGAGTGAAGGAATTCATGAAGACTACAAGCAAGGAAGATCACGATCGTGACTGGTGAGTCACGCTCGTGATTCACACGCAAAAAGTGAAGATTCTCAAATAGGTTCAATCACAGCTGTGACTCACTGATCACGCCCGTTATTTGCTTTGTCTCAGCAATACGTTAAAGGTGGAGGAGATCATGTCCGTGACTCACTCACCAGTCACACCCGTGACTCTCCCGAAAAATTGAAAACCCTAATTTTCGTTCCTTGTTCCCCTTTTTATGTAATTTCCTCTTCTCGTGTTGCCCTAGTTAGCTTATAAATTAGCATGTTAGGGTATGAACCTATATCTTTTGCTTCAACTTTGTTTTAGAGATTAAGGAGAAGGATTGCGCCTGTGTTTTCTACCTCCGAGGTTTGTTTATCTTTTCTTTTCTTTTTTACTTCTTTTCTGGGGAAAACTGCCATGATCATGTGTGAGTAGTTCCCTATTTCTGGAATCAAGGCTTAGCCCCTTGAAAACCTTTTGATTAATGCATTATTCAATTTTCTTATATTTGTTTTCACTTTGATCTTCTTCTTTACATTTTATCTATGATTGCCAATTAACCGTTGCTTTCATAATCTTAGATAATTAAGGATGAACTGAAAGGAGAACTTAATTATCAGAACCTAAAGAGGTAGACTTAGGGTTTCAATCATGAAAGTAGATTTAGTGATGATACAATTGTTCCTGCATCACTAGTCAACATGTTGAAGCAAAACACCTTTGGAGGTATGCCATCAGAAGATCCAAATGATGATCATCTTGAAGGGTTCTTGGAAATCTGTAAGACCCAACATTTTGGATATTCTATTGCTGATGGAATGAAACTTCACTTATTCTCTCTCACATTGAGAGACAAGGCAAAAGCTTGGCTGAGAATAGTTCCTACAGAAAAGATTGAAACTTGGGAAGCATGTGTTAAGGCTTTCCTTGAAAAATTCTTTCCTCCTTCTAAAACCAGCACTACTAGAAAAGAGTCATTTTCTTGCGAATTTTCCTACAAAAAAATATTCGTAGAAATTTTTTGCGAATTTTCTTGCAATAATAATTTCACAAAAAAAATTTACGAATTTATTTGCAAAAAATAATTTACAGATATTTCTTACAAATTTTTTTATGAAAAATAATCTATAAGAAATTTTTGCAAACTTTGCTACAACTTTAATGATCATAAAAAAATTTTCCATGGTAAAAATTTGCAGAAAATATTGTAAGAATTTTATTTTGTTTCTTGCATATTTTCTTGCAAAAATAAATTCGCATGTAATGTTTACTAAATGGTAGAAAAATTTAGCAGGTAACTTTTCTTGCGGATTTTCCTGCCAATTTTAACCTGCAGGAAAAATTAAAAAAAAAATATTTAAATTTATAAGTTTATTATTTTTAAAAAACTTCAAGTACAACATCGATTGAAAATAAAATAATTAAAGAGTATATAAGTTGGGACAACACTTACCCTACAAGTTGATTTGTATGGTTGAATGTTACGCTTATAATCTACAATCTTAGAATTTAAAAGATTATGTATCACATGTTGGAGGCGTGAAAACAAATGTTTCGGATGAATTCATTGTGAGCATTTGAAAGTTAAAGAATTATTGATAGAATTTATACTAATTTCTTTAATTTTTTCGTAAAAAAATATTCCTGCAAAATTTCTTGCAAAAAAATTTACAGGAAACTTTCCTGCGAATTTTTTTCGCAAGAAAATTTATTGCAAATTTTAAAATTCACAAAAACATATTATTCACGAAGGTATTATCTGCAGATAAAATGTCGTAGAAAAATTTGTAAGAACAACGTTTCCTACGAATTTTTGATAAAAATTCGTAGGAAAAGTCGCATGTAATAAGAGAAATTCTAGTAGTGCAGAGATCTACGAAAAAAATCACTAATTTTCAACATAGTCAAGGGGAAACCATCTATGAAGCCTGGGAGCGATATCAAGGATACCTTCTTGCTTGCCCACAACATGGGTCCAACAGATGGCTTACAATACAATTCTTCTTTGAAGGATTAGATCAACAAAGTGTCATGATCCTTGACTCTATTGCTAATGGTTCCTTTATGGGAAAGTCTATTGATGATTGCCTTGCTATTTTGGAAAACGTAGCTGCAAATCAAAGCCAATGGAATAATGAAAGGGATAATACAAGCAAAAAAAGTACTCCAGGAAGATATGAGGTCAACAATGTGGATTTGTTACCAGCAAAGTTTGATGCTCTAAGTCAAAAAAATTGACAAATTGGAAAAGCCAAGCTTGATTTGTAGACCTAGGAAGAACTTCAATTCTCCCATCATGCTCATTTCAAACTCAGTCTGCATCAGCTTTGAAAAATCCTTACAGAGAGATTCATTAGTAGTACCAAAGATGATATCGTCTACATATATTTGTACAACAATAAAATCAGTTCCAAACTCTTTTCTAGAAAGATTTGTGTGAACTTTGCCTCTCTTAATTAACGTAATTTTCAAGTAAAAAATTGCTTAGTCTATCATACCAAGCTCTAGAGCTTGTATCAGACCATAAAGAGCCTTTTTGAGTTTGAGAACGTGGTTTTTGAAATCAAGATTTTTAAAACTTGGAGATTGTTTAACATACACCTCTTCTTCAATGATTTCATTTAAAAAGGCACTCTTCATGTCCATTTGATAAAGCTTAATATTTTTATGAGATACAAAAGCTAACATAATTCTAATAGCTTCAAGCCTGAAAACTGGAGCAAAGATTTTAGTGAAATCAATAACTTCTTGCTAAAATCAATACCTTCTCCTGTCACATGTCACAAGCATCCATTATCGAGGTACCAGTGTGAATCCTTTGGCTTTCCCACCAAGGATATATGAAACAAAGACTATTTGAGATTTTGGTACTAATATCCGCTTGGGTCTTCTCTTGTTAGTTCCATTTCCCTTAGTTTTTCTCTTGCCTAAATTGTTACATTCATATCCACTGGCTTTATGAGAAAAAACTTTGGGTTTGGCCTAAGAAGTCTTGAGACTTGGATCAAAACCATGACCAATTTTGTCAAATGGAATCTTTCTATGTTTTAATAGGAGATTTAGTTTTGTGGATCCATCAACAAACTTAGTTAAGTCCTTCCTGAGTTGCATATTTTCATTTTTCAAGATTTCTACCATATATAGGAGGAACAAAACTAGTGATCTTGTTGTTGAGACATAATATCTCTTTAGCATCATCTGATAGTTTTCTCTTGAGTTCAACATTTTATTTTTCTAAAGCTTTATATTTTTCTTTTAGTTTCTTGTACTCAAGTGAAATCATGTGAGAATTGGCTAAGAGAGTCTCAAAAGATATTTCATCATTGTCAGATTCAGATGAATAAGAGCTAGAGTCAGAATTTACCTCTATATCAATTGTGTCTAACTCAACGTCTACCATAAGACAAATGTTGGCAACTTCTTCATCTAAATCGTTGCTTTCATTGTCAAGATCCTCCTAGGTGGCCATGAAACTCCTTTTTGTCTTCTTTTTGTTAGACCACATTTTCCTGAGTAGTGGATAGTTTGCTTTTAGATGTCCAGGCTTATTGCATTCGAAGCAGACGATGTCCTTGGCCTCTAATTTACTGGCCTTTCTTTCTTTCTCTTTCTTCCTATGTAGAATACTCAATCTTCCATTCTTTTTCAACATGTTTTTAAATTTCTTGGACATTAGAGAGATTTCATCATTTGTTGAGTCTTCCGAGGTAGCATTTGACTTAGATTCAACTTTTAGCACTTTTCTTCTTTCTTTTTTTGGGCTTGTCTCACTATTTTTCAAGGCAATACTGTCTTTAGCCTTAGGTTGATCTTTGTTATTCAAATGAACCTCGTGAACACAAAGTGCTCCAAGAAGTTCATCAAGAGTGAGAATTTTTAAATCTCGTGCTTTAGAGATGCTAGTGGCTTTGGGTTCCCAGACTTTAGGAAGACTATTTAGGATTTTGAGATTATTTTGAGCTTTTGAAAACTCACTACCCAAGGATTTTAGTCCATTTAGAATAGTTAGGAATCTTCCAAATATTTCATCAACGGTTTCATTCTCTTTCATAGAGAATAACTCATAGTGTCTCTGAAGAGTGGCAGCTCATATGAGTCTGACATCCTCAGTGCCCTCATGAATTATCCTGATAGCATCCCACATCACTTTTGTAGTAGACCAGTTGCAAAACTTATTGTACTCAATTCTACATAGAGAACATGCAAGTATATATCTTGTTTTGGTATTCTACTACAAAATGTTGTAATCTTCCTGAGTGTATTGACTCTCAAGCTTAGTTACCTCAATGTCACCTTGGGTGATGATCCCCAAGAGTTGATACTGGGTGGATTTGATGAACATTTCCATCTTGTTCTTCCAATATGGATAACCTTCTCCATTTAAGGCTGAAGGCCTTGTGAGAAAATCTTTTTCTGGTAGGTACTATCCTTCACTGTTTCCCATTTTGGATCTTTTCCTTTGGCACTGTTAAATGTTCAACCCCATCAAAGGCTGAGCTTTGATACCAATTGTTAGAGAAAAAGATACACACTAAAAGAGGAGGTTGAATAGTGTATATCAAAAGCTCAAGCTTTTTGAGGTGTAGTGAAGTGGAAAAAGTTGTAACATACGAAGTACTGGAATGTGATCAGATGAAGTACTGAAAGGAAACAAATGAAGAGACACAAGTATTTTATATTGGTTCATCTCAAACCCAAAGACTACATCCAGCTCTCAATACAACCAGATTGTGTTCCTCTATCTTGTACAAGATACAAGTATTCTTTACACAAGCTACTTATGGTTCAACACTAAGTATTCTTTGACCAAGCCTTTCCAGGCTCAAATCCAAGTATTCTTTCAACAAGCCTCTCGTGGCTCAAACCCAAGTATTCTTTCAACAAGCTTCTTTAAGCTCAACACTAAACATTCTTTTTGCACAAGTATCTCCAAGCTCAACACTAAGTATTCTTTTGCACAAGCCTCTTCAGGCTTAACACTAAGTATTCTTTTGCACAAGTCTCTCCAAGCTCAACCCTTACAAATAAGATTTCTAAGAGTTACACTTATAGCTTCATCTCTTCTAGACGTGATCTTATGAAAATACATCACGAATTTGAGTACAAAGACTATATACAAAATTTATAATGAAGATCTTCTTCGTAGTGCTTCAACTTCAATTTTTTGAATGTTTGATCAATTTGAACTACTTAGTGAGTGTTGAACTGTACAACGCTTTTTCTTAGTATATGTATATTTTGAAACTATCACTATTAATTTATAGTACGAAGGTTTGGTCCTTATATAGTAACTTCAGAGAAGATGACCGTTACAACAACGTTCGATTAAAACGTTCAAATTTCCTCACAGGTTGTTTCATCTGTCTTCCTTGCTGATCCTAAAGATTATCGTTGATGCATTAAATTCTTATCAATGAGACGTATATCTCTTATCTGATCTAGGCATCTACTTATCATCATTTCCTTCCATTTTAAGTGTAGTAAAGAAGTGTCAGCAAAGAGCAGTTGGGGCTGGTGTAGAGTAGTTGGGGATGGTGTAGAGCAGTCTTTTTGAGTACCTTTTTTGTGATATCTGGGATCTTGCTAATTGTTTCTCATGGACATTTTGTCTTTTTCCTCTTTAATGCACTTCAAGAGTTTCGAAGTTCCTTTTTATTCAATCTCCTAAGGAATAATACATTAAATGAAGTTCATCATTAGTCTTATATATCAATGTTCATTTAATGGCATCAGATGGACTATATGCTTCTTCTGATTTCTTCCATCTTGCAGATGATATATATTTTCTTCATAGGTTGTCTGATATGTTTTATCTTTGAAAAGTGTTGGTTTTTGCTAAAAAAAAATATTTTGTTTGTCGTCATTAAAACTTAAAAGAATCATCTATTGTTTTAAAACAAGATTTTTTATTTAACACATTACTTCTACCATGCTTAATTTAGTAGAAAATGATGATAAATAGTTCACAAGATCAGATAAGAGATGCACGCCTCACTGAATGGCATTTGATGCTTGCATTAAATGCATCAACAACAATCCCTAGGATCAACAAAGAAGACAAACGAAGCAGCTTGTGAAGAAAATTGAAAGTTCAACTCAAAGTTGTTGTAACAGTGATCTTCTCTAAAATTACTATAAAAGGATCAAGCCTTCAAACAACATAAATGAATTACTCTATTTAAATTCTCCATCCAAACACACTATAAAGTTGTGGTGTAGTGTCCATTTTCACTATGGATCTTAGGCTATTGCATAATAACACATTGCAATAGTCCCATAGCTTCGTATACTAGTGAATTTTAGAACCCTCAATATTTTCTCTTGCTTGTTTAAGTGATCTATATATCATATTATCCTCCAAATGCACACCAAAATCTTTTGTCATCAAGTAATAGGTTTCACCATGACTAAGATTAGGTTGTTGTCTCAACCTTGTTTTAATGTCTTGAACATCCTTGAACAATTATGTTCATCTTTCAATGTCTCTATCTAAAAGTTATAAGTGAGATAGTTGTATGAATATAATATCTCCATTGAGCATTGTTTAGAAACACATTTTGTCCTTTATAGCAATCGGAACAAGATGACGAAAATAAATTAAAAACATGAAATCGTCACTGATATTTATTTTGAGGAAAAGCATTGAAAAAAGAACATAAAATAGATTTTGAGTTTGAGAGACATATAAAGAAAGAAATAACACTCTACAATGTTTATCGAAAATACAGTTACCTTTAATTAATTAAGCAAACTACTTGTAACTTTTAAAATATCTATCTCACCCTAAATTAATCAAAATTAACTATAACAATCAAATATATTTTATTTAACAAGTGTGTATTTTATTTTCATGAATACTAAAATTATTTATTATTATTATTGATGTTGTTATTATTAATATTAAGAAAAAATGAGAGATAATATTATTTGTAAAATTTACAGAGGTGTACATCCAAGACCATTTATTCAAATATTT